GAATCTTCCTAATTACATCATGCTTGGTGTGTTTTCTTGAGTCTTGTTATGAAATTTTGGTTACTTTTTCCTCTGATGAGTGTTAACATTGTCCTAAAATAACAAGCCCTAGTTGAGGACTAGATAAGTAGGCTTTATGGATCTACACGCCCTTAAAAGTTCTACGCCGTAGTTTAACGTGCAGATAATATTTTACTGTGGTGTGGGAATTTTATGAGTTTTCTCCTATGAAAGGAAAACACTCGTGACAATATTTATGCAAGCACTAGTGTATTTCGCAGAAAAAAAAAACTGTTTTTTTTCTTCATTTTATCGCCATACCTCTTTTCTTCTTATTAACTAACATGAAGGAAATTAAAGTTCCCTTCTCATCTCCAGGTCTGGAATTATGCACCGCCTTGCCTATATTACACCTGTTGAGTTAGGTGGAAAGGCTGGCCAGTCACAAGATACAGATAACAAACTGGATCAGTGGCTTCTCTATGCTATGTTTCTATCTTCGTGTCCACCTGATGGAAAAGATGCGGGTAGCATTGCATTAACCAGAGACATGTACCGCCTTATTTTCCCTTATCTTAGATTTGGGTCAGAGACCCACAACGTAAGTGTTTCTTTTTTTTGTTTGAAGTTGGTAGTTTTGTCACTAATTTAAACTTACTTGTCTCGTTTTCTGAGGTTTTGGTTGACTCTTTCAACAATCTTTAACTTATAATTCCGTTCATGTAGCATGCTGCAACTATGGCTCTCGGACGCTCACATGTGGAAGCATGTGAAATCATGTTTAGCGAGCTAGCATCTTTTATGGACGATTTTTCAGTAGAGACAGAGACGAAGCCAAAGTGGAAGGTATGTACTTGAGTAAACTGTAGAAATCATATAATTAAATTATTTTTAGAACTATACCAGAAAGGTCCTCTCTGTCCAAGATAGGTGATTCTCTATGCAACTGCCTGGCTGTACAGGTTTATGCTTGTGGCAACCTTTGAGTTGATGATATGGATATTGAAAGTTTGTATTCTGACTGAATGAATATTTTAAACTAAAGTGCAAAAACTAGCTAAGTAAAAGGACTTAGAATACGTGAACAAGTACGGGCAATCTCATGGATGAAAAATAATAGAAGTCACTGCCATTATTTGTACCCTCTACGTGGCTTTATTGAACTTCATGTTGAATCTTTGGGGATACTATGTTAGTGTTTTCCTGGGTTTAGTTGGTTGTAGTAATCCCTTCATCTTAAATTAGAGTTGAGGGAGCGGAAGTATACGGTATTTTATTATCTCAGTAAGGGCTGCTATTGATGTGGAAATGCTAACCAGATTTGGCAGAGTTTTCCCCTGAATATGAAATCAGTGACCGTGTTTTTCTTCTTCACCACATTCCTTATATTGATTTCCGGCTGCATGAAAATTATTGGGACTTGACATTAAAAATGTATGCTTGTGATATGAATGCAGATCCAGAAAGGAAGTCGAAGAGAGGAGCTCCGCGTTCATGTTGCTAATATATATCGAACAGTGTCTGAGAATATCTGGCCTGGAATGCTCGCTCGTAAACCAGTTTTCCGCCTCCATTATCTGCGGTTCATTGACGATTCAACTAGACACATATCGTCGGTACCTCCTGAAAGCTTTCAGGACACGCTACCTCTGCGTTATGCACTTGCGTCTGTTTTAAGATCCCTTGCCCCTGAATTTATTGATTCAAAATCAGAGAAATTTGATGTTAGAATTAGGAAACGTCTTTTCGATTTGCTCCTTTCTTGGTCTGATGACACAGGAAGTCCGTGGGGGCAGGATGTTGTTAGTGATTATCGCCGTGAAGTTGAGCGCTATAAGACCTCGCAGCATAATCGGACCAAAGATTCGGTAGACAAGATTTCTTTTGACAAGGAACTGAATGAGCAAATAGAATCCATCCAGTGGGCCTCTTTGAACGCGATGGCTTCCCTTCTATATGGACCATGTTTTGATGACAATGCAAGAAAAATGAGTGGCCGTGTGATATCTTGGATCAATAGTTTGTTCATAGAGCCTGCTCTCAGGGTCCCTGTTGGTTACTCGCCTTCTGATCCGAGAACTCCATCTTACTCCAAATACGCAGGAGAAAGTGGGCGAGGGACAACAGGCCGTGATAGGCACAGAGGTGGTCATCAACGTGTTGCATTGGCAAAATTGGCTTTGAGGAATCTTCTACTAACAAACTTGGATCTCTTTCCTGCCTGCATTGATCAGGTAAAAGTTCTCTCTAACTGAATGTACGGAAGCTGTGTTTATTAAAGTTTTTAGTTGTAGTTACCAGATACAATATCTGATATATCTTGACCAATGATAACAGCTTATCCATGCAGTGATAGTTTCCGTTTCCAGATATATTTTGTTTTCCTAGCTCCAGTTTCAGCACCTAGCTTGTCTTGATAAGCTTTTTTCACATCCATGCTTGCTCATTTCGTGTTACTTCTCTTTTAGATACGTGAACTAACACATCTGTGCTTTTCCCAGTGTTACTACTCTGATGCGGCTATAGCTGATGGGTACTTTAGTGTGTTGGCTGAGGTCTACATGCGAGAAGAAATACCAAAATGCGAAATCCAGAGGCTCGTGAGTCTAATTCTGTACAAGGTAGTCGACCCATCTAGACAAATTCGTGATGATGCTCTTCAAATGCTCGAGACACTTTCTATGCGTGAGTGGGCAGAGGATGGTATAGAAGGTTCAGGAGGCTATAGAGCAGCGGTTGTAGGTAATCTTCCGGATTCTTATCAACAGTTCCAGTACAAGCTATCCTGCAAACTCGCGAAGGATCATCCTGAGTTAAGCCAGCTCCTTTGTGAAGAAATTATGCAGCGTCAGCTTGATGCTGTTGATATAATTGCTCAACATCAGGTCTTGACCTGTATGGCTCCATGGATTGAGAACCTTAATTTCTGGAAACTCAAGGACACGGGTTGGAGTGAAAGATTACTGAAAAGTCTTTACTATGTCACAATGCGACATGGGGATCAGTTCCCTGATGAAATTGAAAAACTTTGGAGTACTATTGCTAGTAAGCCCAGAAATATTAGCCCTGTACTTGATTTCTTGATCACAAAGGGCATTGAGGACTTCGATTCAAATGCATCTGCAGAAATAACTGGTGCATTTGCGACATATTTTTCAGTAGCTAAACGTGTAAGTTTGTACCTCGCACGGACATGTCCGCAGCGTACTATTGATCACCTAGTTTATCAACTATCACAGCGGATGCTCGAAGACAGTATTGAACCCATTGTTTATGGTGCAAATCGGGGTGATTCCAACGGAAATTTTGTGCTGGAGTTCTCTCAGGGACCTGTTACAGCACCACAAGTGGCTTCAGTTGCAGACACCCAGCCACACATGTCAAGAATTCTTGTCCGAGGCTCGCTTGATAGTCCCCTTAGAAATACAAGTGGGAGCCTAAGCTGGAGAACAGCAGGCGTGACTGGCCGAAGTGCTTCGGGACCCTTAAGTCTAATGCCTCCTGAGTTGAACATTGTTCCTGTAGCTACTGGTCGTTCTGGTCAGCTCCTGCCATCGTTGGTGAATGCATCAGGACCGTTAATGGCGGTTAGGAGTTCTACAGGAACCTTAAGCAGTCGCCATGTCTCACGTGATAGTGGAGATTATCTCATTGATACACCAAACTCTGGGGAAGATGTGTTGCAGTTCAGACACCAACAGCACTCACTCACTCATGCCGATATAGCTCTGATTCTACTTGCAGAAATCGCATATGAAAATGATGAAGATTTCAGGGGACATCTGCCTTTGCTTTTCCATGTCACTTTTGTTTCGATGGATAGCTCTGAAGACATAGTGCTAGAACATTGTCAACATTTGCTTGTGAATTTGTTATACTCGCTTGCGGGTCGCCATTTGGAGCTATATGAGGTGGAAACCAGCGATGGAGAAAACAAACAACAGGTTGTGAGTTTAATAAAGTATGTGCAATCAAAACGTGGGAGCATGATGTGGGAGAATGAAGATCCAACGGTTGTGAGAACAGATCTTCCTAGTGCTGCTCTTTTGTCTGCACTTGTTCAGAGTATGGTTGATGCTATATTCTTCCAAGGAGATCTTCGAGAAACTTGGGGAACTGAAGCTCTGAAATGGGCTATGGAATGCACTTCTAGACATCTAGCATGTCGGTCACACCAAGTATACCGTGCGCTACGGCCAAGTGTGACAAGCGATGCATGTGTCTCGCTTCTACGCTGTCTTCATCGATGTCTTAGCAATCCCATTCCTCCAGTTTTGGGTTTTATAATGGAAATTCTTCTGACGCTACAGGTCATGGTAGAGAACATGGAGCCAGAGAAAGTCATACTCTACCCACAACTCTTCTGGGGCTGTGTCGCCATGATGCACACAGACTTTGTCCATGTCTACTGCCAGGTTCTTGAGCTCTTCTCCCGTATTATTGACCGTCTATCATTCCGTGACAAGACAACTGAAAACGTTCTCTTGTCGAGCATGCCCCGTGACGAATTCAACTCTAATGATTTGGGGGAGTTCCAAAGGACAGAATCTAGAGTGTACGAGATGCCACCGTCAAGTGGAACTCTGCCAAAGTTCGAAGGTGTACAACTTCTTGTCCTTAAAGGACTGATGTCTACTGTTAGCCACGACTTCTCCATCGAGGTCCTATCAAGGATTACAGTGTCTTCATGTGACTCTATATTTGGCGACGCAGAGACAAGACTCCTTATGCATATCACAGGTCTACTTCCTTGGCTTTGCTTGCAGCTGAGCCAAGACCAAGTCATTGTTTCGGAGCAGCAGTACCAAAAGGCATGTTCTGTAGCATCTAATTTTGCTATCTGGTGTCGGGCGAAATCACTCGATGAACTGGCTACGGTTTTTGTTGCTTATGCTCGAGGAGAGATTAAACGAGTTGATAATCTCCTTGCATGCGTCTCTCCTCTGCTATGCAACAAATGGTTCCCGAAACACTCAGCTTTAGCTTTCGGCCACTTGTTAAGAATGCTAAAGAAAGGACCAGTGGACTACCAACGAGTCATTCTTCTTATGGTCAAGGCATTGCTCCAACACACTCCCATGGATGCTTCTCAGAGTCCCCACATGTACACTATCGTCTCACAGCTAGTCGAAAGCACTCTGTCTTGGGAAGCATTGAGTGTTCTCGAAGCCCTTCTTCAGAGCTGTAGCCCGGTACAAGGCGGTTCCCATCCTCAGGATTTCGCCTACTATGAGAACGGGGCTGATGAGAGAACGCTTGTACCTCAAACTTCATTCAAAGCCCGAAGCGGACCTCTCCAGTACACAGTGATGGCGCCAACAACGTCGCAAGCTTATCCTCTCAGTGCAGCTGCAGCAGAATTAGAGATACCTTCGAGAGATGTGGCTTTGCAGAACACAAGGCTGGTATTGGGTCGAGTTCTTGATAACTGTGCTCTAGGAAAAAGAGATTACCGAAGATTGGTGCCTTTTGTTACAACGCTCGCAAACATGTAAGTTTTTTTTTTTTTCCGCAGTGATATGCTAATGGGAAACATGTAAGTTTTTGATAAGGGATGATTATTGAAACAAATACTAATGGGGAATACTAATTTGAAAGTCTTTTATTAAGGATGAAACAAAGAAAGGAAAAAAAACACCAATACTCAGAATTGAGTTTCATAAAATCCAAAAATGGAAAAGTAAATGATAATTTGAGCTAAAATAACCAAAACTGTGGTTGTTTTGCTCAAGCTTTGCCATTGGCTGCTGCAGCAGCTGGTGGGTTAAGCTCATCCCAAGCTTCAATCCATGTGACCATGGCGTCTGCAAGCTTGTCAAAGTATGGGTCTAAGGAGCTAAGCTTCTCCTTCACCATCTTTGAGAGCTCAATGTAGCATTGTTGAACAGTTGTTGCTTCTTTAGATAGCTTCACGTTCTGGAAGAAAGGAATGATATCTTCCTGCCAGAAGATTCCTTTGTATTCCTTCTTCAGGTTCACAAATGGGTTGCTCGCTTTGCTGTGGTATATGTATGGCAAACCAGTCTTCACTCCCAAGCCCAAGTGGTCACAGATAACCTATTTATTCATCCCAAAGAGTCATTAGTACAGAGCATGCGCTTCATAGACATTACAAGGGAGAGGAAAAAGTTGAGTACCTTGATGCACCAACCAGCCCACATATCGTCGTAGCGACCAATAGGCTGACCATCACCCATGAGACCAAAATACATAGCTGGTCCAATCAAATCACGGTCGAAAGCCAAGTTCATACCACACATTGGGAAAAGTGTTCCCTTTGGGATGGTCATCACAGCATCCACATACCTGACATATACAAAACATTTTTCAAAATACTGGCATTTGAAACATACAACTAGTTACAATAGATTGTAATAATAATCACCTAGCGTTCCTCTCCTTAGGCTTGACAAGTTGGGTCGGGGCATCGTAATCAGGGATGTTGAGCCAGAGACCATGGGAAACAGCAGTGGAAACACCTTCACGTAGACTGAAAGGGTATCCACGTACGAAATCAGCTCCTTCACGGTAAGGATCATACAAGGTGTTGAAGAACAATGGAGTTGATGGACAGAGAAGATTCTTGATGTGTTGCTCAAGTGCGTTCACTGCTTTCCCTGCTGGATCCTTAGCAACCTAATGTACAACATCAAAGCAAAATAACATCAGCTTCTAAAAATATTTTAAGTTAACACATCAAAGAACATGGCTACTATACAGCATATATTTATTTGACTTCAATTTATATTTATTTGTATTTAATTCAAATTTATTTATTGTTTACTAATTTAGGGGGTTTTGAGGTTTCTAGAGTTTTTAGGTTTTATTTTATATATATATAAGCTTATATTTGTATCCTAACTAACTTAAATATTTGAAAATACACTGAACAACTTCACATAACAAAATAAACAAAACACACTATATGTTTGGATTTTTAAAAAAAAAAATATGTTTTAGGATACTCAATATATGTTTGGATATTTTTATAAATCGGATCGGATTTCAATTCATGTTTCGATTCAGATATTATGCCTAAACCCTAATGAGATCTATGAACTAAAAAAAAAAATAAGAGAACTTACGAAGCAATCATCATCAATGGTGAAGATATACTTCTTCTTAGACACCATGTACCCAAAGCACCGACAAGCAGAGTCCTTAAACGAAATGCAAGAAGCTTTTGGTCCAAGGATCCTGTTAATGTCGTTCCTGTTGTACAGCTCGTAATCGTAGCCTTCAGGGACATGAATCTTCTTCGTGGGATCTCCGTCTTGGACGATGATCAGATGATACGGTTGAAGAAAAGGCCTCCACATCTCGAGGAAATCGAGGTTTCGGATGGTCGGAATCACGATGTCGAGCTCGTCTTTCAGTAACGGTGTCGGGTTAACCGGGATTCCAACGGTATTCGCCGGTTCAACCATGATTCAAAGGGGGAGGGAAGAGAGATGAGATCTTGTCGGTGAATTTTGATAGCTTTTGAGATGTGGTTTTATTTTTTTGATATGAAAGGAGTGTCTTCAATTTATACAGATCTGGCGCGTGTTGACAAGTCTGTGATAGTGTCTGTCCAATTGTAGAGTGACTTCTGTAAGACTCGGATTTGTTAATAAATCTTAATAATTAATTAATGTAAGTTGATTATTTGGTTGAAAAAAGGTTAATATCAGGTTTAAACTACGTATAAAGAATATGATCATTGTTAATTCAGTGTTTTTGTTACATATTTAGAAAAAAGTGTTAAAAACATATTTTTAATTTCTTAAACAAAATTGATTCTGTAGTTTTGTATAGTTTCATTTAATTTAAACATATTAAAAAGAGAAATTGACTAGAATAGAGCTAAAAAATATTTGTCACAAATATAGAATTTAACAATTAAAATGATCAAAATAGCAATTAAATATTTTATTAAATATATATTTTACCCTTTCGGTTAACTAATCCTAGACTTTTTTGTTTAGAGTTAACGAATGGGGTTTTGAGGATAGAGTTTCAAATTTTAAAAAATAAAAATACTTAAAATTTTCAAAATAAAAAATGTTATTTTGGTCATTTTAATTTTTGAGGTCTATTTGTGTGATAAAAATTTAAAAGATAACTATTTAAGAGAATTTCTCTATTAAGAATTATTAAGATAAAGAAATGTATTTAATTATTTGGCAAGTTTTCCAAAAAAGGTAACGTAAAAAATTAAGATTTTCTTCTCAGTTTGATTTCGGTCAAATACCATAAGAACTTAACGTTCAAACTGTAGAAACAATTATTATAATTAATGAAAAGTTGAGGTATAGTTTCTACCAAATTAGTTAGTATTTATCGTTTTGTTAATGTTACTTCTTGTTTATAATTACTATGTACTACCGTTCTTGCTAATCAAATGAACGTATTGTGTTAAGAAACTGAAGAAAATATCAATCTTGTTGACTCGAATATATTAATTTGCAAAATAAGATTTCCTTCATCTGCGGCTTTACTTTAAGAAAAAAAAAACTGAAAAAGGGGGAAAACAGTAAACTGACAAGTTTATTAATGCTCTGTTTTACCTTGCTAGGTAACGAAGAAATGATGCATGTGATGGAGCCATGGACTGTGGCAGTGTCTTAAATTCTTCAACATGTAACTTCTCTTTTTGAGTTAAATTGTCGTCAAAAGTACATCATCACAGTTATTTTTTTGTCAACTTATAATCATAGTGACAGTTCTTTATTTTTACAATTTATACTCTAATAATTTGACAAAATTCTCTGATATTTTTTATTTGCAAACAAATCCTCAATAATTTTTAACATATTTAATTAAACAAAAAAAGATAAAAGTTGAAGCGTGATCCTTACGACGTGGGCCGTTATCACTACGTTGTGGTCGTGGAATCCTCGTTGATGCACGTCGTTTATGATTATTGCATCTATAAATCATGTGACTATCATTTTTTTTTTTTTGTAACTTAAATCATGTGACTATCTTATAAACGAGAATACATGCACATAGTGGTTCATCACCGATGAAATCATGAAAACTTTTAATATCATTTCTTAGTCGGATTTGTTTTAGAGATTGTAGAAAGAATGAAAATCACAATGAAAGGTGAAAACTACGTTTTAGTGTTAATCTTAAATATCCCCGTATGTATAATTTTTTTTTTGTTACATCAACTATGACCATGAGATGTAGATAGGCTTTGAATTGGCCCAAATATCTGACTTCGTATCGTAAGTAGTAGACCTATTACGGGCCAATTACAGCCCAGTAAGCGTCTTTAGTCTGTATGGTTACTGGTGTTTAACTACTAGACAATAGCAGCAAGATTGGTATGTGTTTTATTTCACTCAAAACAACTTTTGGAGATTATTATGCTAATTGATAAGTCAGGAAGATGACGCACAAGAATGCTTATGGTAACAGTGTGCAGTGCTTGATAATAGTGATGATGGTATAAAGCAAGATAATAGTTCAAGCAAAACGAGACTAAGCTCTGGAGTCTGGATATCATGGCAACACACAGCTGCTGCCAGAGATACAATGTCAAATAATTATACAAAATTGGCGAACTGATCGCAAAAACGGGATTTCAAAGTTTTTAAGGCTTTTTAATTCTCAGAAGCTAATAAAAAGCAGAAGAACATTATCTATAGAGCTTCTTCTGCTGCAAGAATACACACTCCAATACGCAAAAGTTGAAAGAATGATTACAGTAGCGGAACTCAGACTTCAAAAGCTGATAGAACGGTCCGATTGTTAAGAAATAGAAAGCTCCGAATAACCGAGATTCAAAATCACGTCTTAGTCCAAAATGAGAAGAACCAACGAATAATAGTATAGTAACTAAGGCCTTTTCTAATCTTCTATTGCACACAGACGCTCTGAAACAAAATAAATCAAGCAATAACGAATATATCAGAGAAGGAACAGTAAACATCTCAAAAGAAGAATCTTGAATGTCTTTGGAAAATGGATAAAAGGAAAGATATATATCTTACTTAGGTATTCGTAAGTCAATATCATGGAGGTTCCCCAAGCGGACATGCTGAAGAATCTTGGACCCAAACCCCTATAGAACCCTTTCCACCCATCTTGTGCTATCAGATCCTTCACCACTTTTTTCGCTGATGGTCTATTTTCTTGGTGTCCCATCACCTGAATATTAGATTCACGGTTTGATCATTCTCGAGAACAGTAGCATCAGACCCCGGAGAGCTTGTTTAAATTCATAAGAGCTAAACCAAAACCAATGGGAATAGTTAATACCTGCAACCGCGTTTTGATTGTATCCAATGGTGTTGTGATGGAGGACGCTGTTGCACCTGCGATGATTCCTCCCAAAGCCTGGACAAGAACAATTTTTGACTGACTAGGAGCAACAGTAGCCTTCGAGTCACTACCAAATCCTAAGAGTCTACACAAATACTTGAATCAGTGAAACAAGTAGCAAATCCATAGACTGAAACCAAAACTATCATTAACTTTTATCAAAAAAAAGTTTCATGATTGTCTAACCTCCAAATAACACGCTGACTAGATCCATAGCTAGCCCACCAAGCAGCACTAGAAGGAGAATAAGTCATAACAGACAAACCAAACCCTCTATATAATCCCCTCACACCATACGACTTAATAATCTTCGTAGCAACATCAATACCACCACTATACTTAGCATGACCTGAGTACCCTTGCACCATCAACTTCTGGCTAACCTGCAACAAACAACACACATTAGCTCAACCTTCAAAAAAAAAAAGTACTGTTAAGTAGTCATGGGCATTCGGGTTTCGGATCGGGTCGGTTTGGTTTATTCGGTTTTCGGGTTATTCGGGTTGGGATGTTTAGTAACCGGACATTTTTCAGATCGGTTCGGTTCGGATAATGTCGGATTCGGGTCGGGCTTCTATTTTTTTATAAAACCCGAAGTGGAACCATATTACAAATAATTCGGGTTTAGTTCGGATTTGAAGCCCAGTAAACCGAAAAAATCCCGAAAACCCGTGTTAAACCCGAAAAACCCCAAAAACTATTCGGGTTCTTCGGGTAGTTCGGATTTTTTAAAATATTTTTATATATAAATTACATTTCATATATATTAAACATTAAAAACAATTAATATTTTTAATATATTCAAAATATTGGGTACCCGTTTGGTTCTCGGTTCGGTCACGGTTCGGTTTCGGTTTTTTGGATTTAGAAATATAGGAACCGTTCGGGTTTTTGTAATTTTCGGTTTCGGTCTCGGTTTTTTCGGTTCGGTTCCGATTCGGATTTCGGATAATATGCCCAGGACTAATGTTAAGTAAGTATAAACAATCAAACACTTACAACATCAATAGGTACAAACACGGCCTGTGAGAAAAGAGAAGCCGTCATCCCAGCAATCCCATTAGCAATAGCAGCTTGCGTAGGCTCACTCAACTCCAAAGGCGCAACCAACTTGAAAGCAGAGATCTTCGTCGTCTCCAATGCAGTTAAGAATATGATCCTAGCGGGGACAGCACCTGTGATCACGGTGCCGAAACCACGGTAGAGACCAGGAACGCCGTCGTTTTTGAGAATGCCTTTGATAACAGAGAAGGCGCTTCTCTCAGCGATGTCTTTGGAAGCGACTTGGAGCCTTGTTTTGATGACGGAGACAGGGTAGAGTGCTACTGTTACGCCGGTGAAGAGTCCTGCTCCGTTTACGTAAAATCTCTTTTTATCAAGCCTGCAAATTAAATTAAATTTAAATTAAATTATAGCGTAACAATAAATAATCTAAGACTTCTCTGATCTTATCATCAGTAATGTAACAATTAGGTTAACGGATGAGAATCTGAAATCAATCCCTAATCTATGATTACCTCCACCAAATCAAAGTGCGAATCAACAAAAGAGCTAATCACGAAGATCTGAATCGAAGCGAATTATAACAACGCTACGAAGAAGAAAATCGAAGGAGCAAAAGAGAAGGGAGACGTACTTGTCCCAGTTAATCTCCGTCTGACCAAAAGATGCGACGCGAGAAGTCGGCGGCGTGTTCATGACTCTTAAGATGCGGCGAGGCGGAAGTAGCTGATCTTCCTACGACGATGACGGCGGAAATGGAAATATCTGATTGGAGATTTCTTGGAGGCAAATTCAACGAAGGTTTTTTGGATTCGTCAGGTAGAGAATATTGTTAAGAGGGTTTTAAGAAACGCAGACGCGGTTAGCGTTTTGGTTAGAGGCTATGTTTTTCATTAGATTCCAGTCAAAGGGGGGCATATACCGCATGGGACTTGCTCGCAAGTGTATATGTTTTCTTGACCAAAAAAATGTATATGCTTTTATTTTATTACAGTTCAGTAGAAAAAGTTATGTTTAGTTAAATTCATTCGTTTCTCTTTACTGTATTTTTTAGCATTTTTTTTTGTTTGATTTTCCATATAGAAAAATATCAATAACTTTCACATGAAAATTTATAAAACGATGACGCTAATTGGTGTTGAAGGATCAGTCCGAGTAAATAAAACCTTTTTAAAAAATTTCCTTGCACTATAGAATACACAAATGCTAGATAACAATTTAATAGAAAAACAAACAATAGACCAGGACTTTATAGAGCCTACGGGGAAAATATCTTCCAGAAAAAAAAGCGTTTCGCCAAACAAAACGCCGTTGTTATTGATCTTCCACCTTTGCAGACCAACGACAAACATACACATGCGAATATAAAACTAAGCTGGGCCTAAATTGGGCCTACAGTAGAATGCGCTTATCACGGCCCGATAAAAAACTATTTGACTATTGTACCCTTCGTTCTCAGTCAAACGTTTCACTTTCACATGTGTAATAACAAAACCAACAAACCTTTAAATCTCGATCAACAAGAGTACAGAACCATTACATCAATGGCAGTGATTAAGTTTACAAATCTCTAAACACTTTCTCATACAAAAAAACATTTTCAAATCCTGTTTCTGAAACCCAGAAGGATCACGCATCAACTCACCAGAATGATATCAACATAAAAACAAGAACCGTGAATGACAGCGTCGAGAGAGAAGCTAAGCTTCCTCGTGCAGAGTTTGGTAGAAAAGGATACGAATCTGGTGGAGGCAACATACACTCATCTCCATTAAAATAAACTTTCCTCGGGAAAGCCCAACCTTGCTTCAAAGTAAAAGTCTTTTGATCTTTCTGTAACAAAACCTCTGATTGCACATTCCCTGAAGGTCCAGCTTCCATCAAAAGATCATTGTAAAACTTTGTCCCAAAGAACATTCCAGTATCATCTGCATAACAGATCAAATAAAGTTTCAGTCTTTAGCTTCAAAGGTTAAATCTTTGTATTGAGAGCAGAGAGAGACTTACTTATGGATCCGTAAGGAGCAACTGATTTGTAATCAAAGCTGAAAACTTGAGTCACGTTGTTGAGATTTGGATGCTGAACTGCTAAAGTCCATAGCGTATGATTCATCCGGTAATTGAAATTTGTGATGGCTATCTTCACACGCCAATAGTCTTTGTAGTTAGTTTTAACGTGCCAGTGAACTCTAATCGGGCACATGTGGTGTGTGCATTGTAGCAATGGTGCGTTGTCTTTTCTCGGTGTGTTGAGTCCTTTCTTGGTTAAAATCTTAGAATCAGCCCTACAAAGTAAAACTATTAATTAATATTATGACAGGGATTTAAGTGATTTGTGTTTTCATTTTGCTTACTTGACGCAGCTCCTTTTATTCTCGCAGCCACAAGCACAAGAAGGGCAAGGAGTTATAGTGTCGTTGTAGAAAGAAGAGAAGGAGACGCAACAACTTGGATGCTTCCTTGCTAGAAACTGTGAGTATGTGCAGGTAACATTCCACGTCACTGCAGAAAGCATAATTATGAATTGATGTTTAAAGATCAATGATGCTTAATAGATGAAGAGAACTTAACACTTACTCAAAGCTTGTGTTTTCCTCCTTTTGTCAGTAGTTAGAAAGACAGTAGACGGCACTATTTTGGCAGGACCACAAGTGTAACCAGGACCAGGACCAAGCAAAGTGAAGTTCTTAGGAAGCTTGACAGTCTTGTTTGTGGTTCCAGCCTGACCAACACTAACCTGAAACTGTGACACAGCGGATGATGGATCTTGACCCCAAGCACCAACTACACCGCCTTTGCAACAGTTTGAGATCTGTTGATTGTAAGGGACGCCTGGTAAGAGATCAACGACGGTTGGGGTTTTCTTACAGCAGTGAGGTACGTTGCCTTTGAACTTGGAACAGTCTCCTTGTTCTGTTGCTTGTGCACCAACCATTGACCATATCACTTCTTTCTTTGCCCATGCCCAGCCTAGTGTCCAACCTGGGGATTGTATGTGTCGGTAGATTTGGAAGTTGTTCATAGTAACAATAGCCTGCAGATACATATAATGAGATGGTGAGAGTTAGTGCTGAGTTTCAAACACTCACACACATAAGTGTGAAGATAATTCTTACCACATAGCCATCTGCTGTCCATGACATGATATCCCATTTGATTGTTATGTTCCCATTAGGATCCAATGGATCATAAGCAGCTGTTAAAAAAAAAACACAGAATGAGAAAAAAGGAAGTTGAGGTTTTGGAGATAGTTTGTTGAGTATCCAAAACTCACAGGCGCTGAAGATGATCATGAAGAAGAAGCAGAAGAAGAGTCTCATCTTTTTGTAAATTTCCTAAGGATAATAGTATTCCAGATATGGTTGTTTAACTTCAGTTTCTTCTTCTACAGGATTTAAACAGAAGCTTTTCAAAAGATTATTTTCTACCTACTTGTTGTTGCATTCTCTAAATTTATTCTTTTCTTGTTTCCCTTAACTTTAAGCAATGTTTATGGTGATTGATAGTAAAACAGCAACAGAAACTGACGTGCTCTTGTCCGAACACAACATCTCAACTGTCTTTTTTTTAAAAGAAAATTAAGAAACGGAAACCCTAATGATCCAAAGATGAGAAGTGAGAAGGTTACTTGGGGTTGAAGACAAAAAAGAAAATGAGGTCTAGCCATAAGTCAACTTCTGACGCAAACATATCTCCCAACTTACCTTGCTACCTTCCTAAGCAAGCATGTCCTCTTTTAAAAAGGTTGTCTAAATGTAATTAATTAGATCAGAACTTTTTGCTTTTTTCACGTCCTTAAATCAGATCATATATCTTTGCATCTGCTTCACAGAGCCTTAAGTGTCGAGAAGGTTGGTCTCGACATAATTAAACATGGATTTTGTTTCCGGGTGGTAGCTAGGTTCTTATGTTTTTTTGTTAATCGACGATTTTCTTAATATCAATGTTTATCTAATCAAATATTATTCAGTAACTATTTGCAACAAGATTTAATTTTACTAGATTCTTAGATTTTAGATGTGCACCCAAGTACAGATATTACAACATGTCATACTCAAAAGAAGTTACCCAAGACTCAGATTTGCCTTAATTGACTTGTACATATCTAAAAATACAACCAAGGAATCAAAAAGAGTAAGAAAGCTTTACTATAATGATGAGCATCTCACCTTTCGTTACCCTTCTTTTCCCGAGCTCTGCGAGGAATCACCTTTACATCCCAAAACAAGGCTACTCACGACGATCTCAGCGTTACACGGACCCTCACAACCCTTTATCACAAGCTTTTCAAAACTCTTACTCTCCAAATCAAACCACATCAACTTCCCATTGTTTATCTCCAGCAAAATCTTGCTCCTGTCCTTGGAATAGATCAGAGGCCTCACAAACTCAAAGAAAACAACAGAATCAGGTTTCGGCACCGTAATGAACTTACTCCACTTCCCTTCATACTCCCTCAAAATCCAAACATCCACACTAGACTCGCTGTAACACATCAAGCAAAGGCAGCCATCTAACACACCAATATCCATATCATCTTCACAGTAAAGATCACTTGGGAAGCTAAGAACTCCAAGAGTATCAGAGGCAAGATCAAATCTGATTATCGTGTTGAAAGCGATATGTCCTTGACTTCTAGGTAAGATCCAATGAAGACTATTGCTAGCAAGAACACCATTCCCACGGCGATACAGAATATCGTAATAAAAGTAGATGAAGAGCATCTGCACCTCAAAGAGAAGACTGATTCTCTTGCATTTATTTTTCTTTAAGCTGAAAACTTTGATTTCCAAAGGATAATCTCCTTCATCACCTAAATCCTTCGACTGAATCATCCTCACTACTTTGTAATCATCACTCACCGAATCGTAACCTAATCCGTAAAAGACAACCTCGCGTGTGATGTAACGTTCCGGGAAATCAACAGGTTCAATCGGTAAGCGGTGGATTTTACGAGTCGATGGATTAAAAAGTGCTAAGTCGAGAGGAGAGTTCGTTAAACCGATTATACCGTTAACCGAACCGAAAACCTCCGTCAAACCGCCGGCTTGCAAAGGATGCTCAACGTCAGAGAGTTTATCCGGTGCGTCGAGGTACACCGTACGTAGAATGCGAGGGAAACGCAGGAGGATCATGAGGTGCTCTTCGGTTTCGAGAACGCGTTTGAGATGCGACGCGACGAAGTCGGAACTGTCGATAAGAGAGTAGCAAGGCTTCGAGAGGAGGCGGCATCGGACCAGGGTAGTAGCGGGGAGACGGTGGAAGATATCGGCGACGATATCCATAGGCATATTCGCCATTGTTGTCTCTCGTAAGCTTTTCTCAGTGTCAGCGAGAAAATCTAGGGATTCAAAATCCCCGGTGATTTAGATATTTGTTTCACTCTCTCTCTTCTCTTCAGAGAGAGAAAATCCTCTCAACTTCCCTCTTAACACACTTTGATCTTTCAGAGGGATTGAGAGTTTGAGAGTTCTTTTTGTTTTTTGATTGTAAGATATTCGATCAACTGATAATTAACTTCCGGTAGCGGATCTACTCTTCGCTTTGGCGATTTTTTGTGTGTGTTTTTCAAACTGAATCAAAATTGTTATTCACTTTCTCCATCATCTATCTCTGGTTCAGTTTGAATATAATAAATTTCCGATCTTGATAAATCGGATCTCAACTTTCTGATGCTCCTTTGTGTTTTTTTAAATCCCGATGATTTTGAAATCAATCGTTTTTGCTGGTTATGCATTTCTTCTTCTATACAAGCATAAATCTTGCTCTTGCTTATAGCAGCCGTTTATATGGCCTCGGAGCTAAGTAGCTTGTAAGAAGTTTGAATGGATTGTTGTTTTTACTTCGATCAAGTTGAATTGGGTTTTAGTAAAGTTGGGGCTTTTCCGGTGAAAAGTGTCCTAACAAAGACCTAAGCTTCAATTGTATCGGAGTCAACTAATGTCCCAGTGATGTTAGGAGTTTTCAAGGCTCCTAAGTCAAATGATAGTATAGTGGAAGTAAGTTGTCGAACCAGTTCTGAGGGATTTAAAAGCACCGAGAATGCAAGTACTAACTTAATCTAAGTGCAATCGAATGTTTGGTTGGTTTTGAAGTTAACTAAAACTAGAATGCAAATAACAAAAATGATACTTTTAAACTATTGGGAAGGAGAACTCATGGGTAT